TACTACTACTAATACTAATACCAATACTACGACGACGACGACGACGACGACGAAAACGACGACGACGGCTACAACAACGACTACGACCTTTCTATGTACGACTTCATTGTCTTTATGATGCTGGCGGTTCGAGAATGTTCGTATGACGACTAACTCGGACGTGTACCGAATGTTAGTGACCACGGAGATTGGAAACGGCGACAGTGCAGTCAGGAAGTAGCCTCAGAATTCTTGCCAGAAGGGGAGCTCCGACCGTCCTGCTTCAGGCTTTAAGCTTTGACATGCGCGATCTATGAAGTCTTTCGCAAAGACTTCTCGTTGAGTCGGGGGTCGGGGCCATAACATTTCCCACGAAAGTTCCATGTCAACCAAGGTTCAGCACGGCAAGGGCCAATAAATGGCACTGCAATTCTTGCACAACCCCCACGTCGCACGTGGGTAATAGGTGCTCAGCTGTTTGATTGCCACTTCGTCTCGAGAGTCTAGGTACAATCTGGGTCCACAGTCGGGGTTGGGACTCATGGCTGCTCCCGACATGTTGCGCAGGTTGTAAGTGTATTCTTGGGCCTCAATATCTTCCCTATATCTTCTCTGCAGACGTACAAAAAAATTGAAAATTAGTCAGAAAGGAGGATGCCAATGCATCTCAGAACCTTAAGCTCTCAATCCTAGAGCCGAATCCAGCTGAAATGCAATCCTTGCGCATGGTTCTTGGCATGCTCACCACGTGTAAAGAACTTCTACGAAAAGAAACTTCTCCGCCTGCATTGGCCCCTCCTCAAGAGCCATAAACCTGCGCAGGAGTTCCCCGAACCCCCGCGAAACAGTCCTGCGCATCATCATCCGAGAGTCCGAGAAGCTCGTTTGGTGGGGATAAGTCCTCCTCCACACCTGTCAGGGGTATGATTCATTATGATGATGAGCACCTTCCCTTTGTTGCCTAGGGCCTTGAATGTCGGCTCAGCTTCAGAGCCTCGAAAAGCGAGGATCCTAGACCTGTTTAGAGGCTGGCCGCATGCAGGCTCGAAGGTAGGTTCACAGGCAGAGACTTGCAAACAAACGCAGGAGCAACGAGATCGGTATCTACCTTACGTGCAGTACCAAGACAGGGTCACAAGGAACCATCAAACGAATTTACACAACTGCAGGTTACAAGCGATGGGCGATGTATCGTTGGAACATCACTACGAAACAGAGGGAAGGTGCAAAGACACGCCACAAAATGAGCATTTATGCAAGAATACAGCCAGAAATTAGTCTACGGATGGTGGAGAGATACCTAGATAAATGTGGCCTGACGGTGCTTGATGTGCAGATCGTGTGGTTGTGCACAGCCCGCAAAAGAAGAGCTAAGCAGCGATAGCTACGCTCGTTGCAACCCTTTGCCACTCGTGTCGTGATCTGCTTGCATACAGAAGAATTGGTGCTCTAGTTCAGCAACTCGGAAGTGGCGAGTCGTACAGCAACATACACAAGCCAGCCAGAACAAATTTAACCTTCTGGCTGAACAGCAATGCAACGGCACCGGCCAGGTCATAACGAAAGAGGGGCTCACATCCGCATGAATGGCAACAACCGGTGCCATGTTTAAGGAGCAATATTGCTGCATATACCGCACCGGGAACACAACTATCATGCATGTGAATATGTGTGAACCGCATCTCTCGTTTTCGATCTGTTCTTTAGTGTGCTACAATATGTTCGCCGCACGGTATAGAGACAGGTTGTGACAGTCTGCTGATGCAGTTGCAAGGCTGTCATACTTACACATGAAGGGTACACAGTGCAGTTGGACTACAGACTCACCAAATTCGGCCCCTTGGTGTGTTGAGACACAGCCTACTGCGCCTACATCTTTGCCAGGACCAGGTTGCATTTTGATCGGGCAGCACTTGGAAGCAAAAGCTGAGATTCACACAGAGTAGCGGCGAACCGCAGAAAGAAACTGATACCAACGACAAGAGCAAAGCCTGTGGTACTGAAGCCGATTGCGATGAGAATCTTGCAGGTGCCAACGCTTCTTGCACATTCAACACGAAATACCTAGCTTTTGACGATTATTGGATAACAACAGAACAACCGTGCATTCGCCGGATTGCTGCCGCATCGAGCCTTCCAGGGGTGTTCCGGGAGTTCGCCGTCTCCTTCGTCGCCTTTTGGGCCCTCGAAAATCGGCCATGTGCAAGAAGAGATACACGGGCTCCTCAAAGCGAAGGAGGTTCAGAGCTGCGGGGACTAGGACACGAACCGGAACTTGCTCCCCAAGCGGGCTTGCAACCTTATCTATAGCCTTTATAGCCCTTGCTTAACAAATTAACAAAACGAACATGGGAGCAATAACCAAGCACGCAAACTGTCCAGACCCACCGCACCATGATTGACACTATCACCCAGGTGCTCGAAAATCGCCCCTTCCCCTCAGACCAGGACCCAACACATAACCTCCGTATCCAAATAGCAGAATCCTAGCTCATGACACCATGGCGGCAACAGGCGAAGCTTACTAGCCGTGCTAAGCGTCCCTTAAGGCATAGCGCCAACATCCGAAAACTCAGATCCCCGGCTGCTCCTCCAGCGACTTGCGTGGAAATGGCGAACTTATTGTCACAACCCGTGCCATGAGATGCTTCCTCGGAGGGGGCGAAACCCCAATTCACCTACTAAGCCTGTAACTCCTACACCCAAACCAGGTTGCACAGATACCGTAAGGCCCTAAGACCGATCACATGAGCCTGGCAGGTAACTCTGGAACATAAACGGAAAGATAAAGTGATATGATACTTGAAAATTATACATAATAATTATGATAAAACATAACATAGAAAAATATAATGGAACATGATACAACGTAACGAAAGATATTGTCACAGAATATAACAGGATATGACGAAATAAACTGTTACAGTAAGTTGTAGCTTTATCTACATCATATCACAGTGTATTACATTATTTTGTATCATATTCTATTACCCGCAGCTGTGCAGCTTTCCACAGTCTAGAACTCTCAGGAGAAATGGGTACTTAGGTTTATTATTCTCCCGGCCCTGATGGGCTTTCATACAAAGCTGCCGGCGCAGAGCTATCCTTTGGCTTTGAAGGTTGCAGTCAGGGGCGTTGAGCCAGCGCGCTGGCGGGGATGTCTTGCTTGGGCTACCTTCAAGAAAAGGCACTAATAACCAGTCGTGCCACTACAGAGCCGACCAATTCTTGTGAGTGACGTTCGGGGCAAGCGCTTCCATAGCTGGATCAGAAGATCCCTCGTTCCAGCCTTGGAGGACTTTGCACCTGAACTTCAACATGGGCCTGTTGGCCAACATGCTATCAGCGAAAATGCCTTGCCCGTGAGAACATTCCAGGAGCACGGAGGATCTCACATGCACTTCTGTTCGTCGATGTGCACTCAGTTTTTTGCCCTTATGCGTCAACTGTTCTTGCGAGAAAAGAGCAATATCAATGATCTTGTGCTTCTTCGTGAAACATTGAGGTTCTCGAATGATCACACCGCTCTCGTTTTGCAGACCTTTGAGCGTGAAGGTGTGGGATTGGAGAACTGAACTTGTCGTGGACGTGGAAGAGCCGCCTAAGGGATCTTTGCGCTGCAACGGGGTTTCATGCCATTGGCGACAGTTTTCCGGTTCAGACGCGTAGGGGGTCGAACGAAGCCAGGAAACCCCCTCGCCGACCTTCTCTTCAGCTTCGTTGTGGCGGTCACTTTGAAGGCACCGAGCGCCAGTTGATTGATGCCGGCGTTGTGCCTAACATATCTGTCGCTGGGATTATGCCTCAGACGAGTGTTGAAACCGCGCATGTTCCTTGCGCAGCTGCGTGGCAAGATGATGCCGTCTTCATGTTCTTTTGAGTTGACAGAGCTTGCGATCTTCGTCCTCCTCGTCCTCCCGCTCTTACGAGTAGAGCGCTTGGTTCATCAAAATGTTCAGTCTCGCTGCTTAGACTTGAACTACACGTCTGGGAACACTGAACGTGATTGTTCTCCTGCTATCTCCTGTTGGCATTCAGCCGGAAAGGCGAAACTGGAGGCGAAACCCCACATTTGCACCGACACTGTGCTTAAGTTGGCGTTCCTTCCTGATTTGAGAGCGCTCACACAGTCAGCTGCGTTCCAACCGATATGTCGGCATATCTGCTCCCTGACTGCGACAGGCAGGGTCCCTGATCAAGCTTCTTCGGAAGCGGGTTTCCAGAGATCCCTAGATGGCCGGCCCTCAGTGTCCGCAGAATGATCTTCAGATCGCTGGTTTAGTCGTGCATTTTGATGAATGTCGTAGCATGGGCCGGCATGCGAATTGAGCAAAAGCTTCCGTAATTAGTTGCTCGTGCATGTTTTGGATCCTTACCTGCAGCGAGGGATGCCTCTTCAAGGTGTGAGCATGAAGGACCTCGGCGAATCCTCCGAAGCTGATGGAGAAATGCTTCTTCACCTGCGCTTCCGCACCCACATCTCCAAGGCTAAACATTTTGGTGCCTCCCACTTGGCCAGGACGAGGTTGCATTGTAGGGCGCATGCTTGAGAGTGTATTGCCGCATACCCTTCGCAGCCGCAAGTCAGTACGTTTGCAAAAATACCCTTTTACATCTGTGACGTCCACGTTGCCGCTCGACTCACAGGCTCTTGTCTACTTCAAGCCAGTCTTCACGACCAGAAGAATTTCAGGGCTTAGGGTTTCGAGTTTAGGGGTTCGTGCTTTAGGGTATGGTGGTGGCTTCCCTCTTCGGCTCTCCCCTCCCGGCGACACGACCAGATGGTCTACCCAGCAGCAAGCTGGATATATGTGTGTGCGACCTATGATAGCACTTGGCACCAAAAATGTTGAACCCAACTGGTAGAAACGAACACAGTAACACTTTCAAAGTGGACCTTCAGCAAGAAACAAAGAGGCCCTAAACTGCCCTGAACCACTAGCCAAGCGCCTTTCAACAGCATTCCCTGGAAGACCCTCGTGAACCAAAGATCAAGCAGACTTCACCGAAGGCTGTGTTGAAGGATCATATAAATACTCACGCATTGGGCTGCCGCTAGAAGGCAGAAAACTAGCAGCCGAAATCCGGCGATTTCAAGAGCGATCGTGTGCCAAGATGTGTGAGTTGAACTCCTTTCCCGCCCTTAGGTATTGAAGACACTGCAAGCAGCAGGGGGCCGAAGCAACGTCGAAACAGGCTGTGGCGGTGATTAGGGTTAGTAAAGGGACCCTTAAATCAGGCAAGGATTCCTCGACTCCCCAGGCACTCGTAGCATCAGAGGTGGCAGCTTCTGCTTCTCGACGAAGTTCTGCGGATGGCTTCTAAGGCTTACAGGGCTGAACCCTGCATGCTGGACATGAGGCTAATCCGAAGGCTGGGTATAGCAACTATGGCAGCAACAGGTATGCAACTCATGGCGCACTTGCTGGCTGGGAGACTGTTCTTCTCTCGCATCAATAGTGTTGGGATTGATGGCTGAATGGCTTTGCTAACATATTCCCTATCGCCGTAGCAAAAGGTTCGACAGCCTTGGCATTGCATGGCCACTCTTTGCTCCGACAGACTGACACGTTTCAGCACAAATTGTCCCGCAATGACTCCGCCGTCTGCACTCGCATCTACCTACATATCATCAGAGCCCCTCAACCCTAAAGCCTACACCCTACAGCCAAGGCCTAGGGCCCAGGGTTGTGGGTTCAGCTTTTCAATGTAGGCCGACGAAGCTTCAGCCGTAGAGCTCGCATCAGGGTTGCAGCTCGAGCAAAAGTTACGGGAGTGGTGACAACACGAATGTAGGCTTTCTATATTAGGCATTATTGCTATTTTTACATGATGATTTGAGGAAATATCCCCCATGACGGTACGTAGGACCCTTCAGTCGCAGTTTCTTCTGAATCGGGTCCGTGGGGTTGGGGCTTCATGCCAAGACATGGCATCACGGGTTTGGGGTTCACCTAGCCATGTTGCAGCTTTATGGCGGGGCACATGGGGTTCTGGGCATACAGCTGCAGTCATGTATCTTTGGCCATCAATATCCGAAGTACACTTCAAGCTTCCTACAAGGGATCTACCAACTAAATTCCGATCTTCGAATTGCTCGATTCTCCTTGTTCCGGAGAGACATGTCTAGTAGTTGGAAGAGTCACCACTATTTTCCAGCTCTCCCGCCCATTAAGCCTTTGAGCCCCTGATTCTGTGAGGAAATGTGTCAACTCAGGCTGACAGTAGACCCTTCCGCTGGCTCCTGGGTATCCACCTTCTGCGCAGCACTTGCCGCGTAGTTCCGGAGCCACGGGTCCATAGAATGCCAGTCCTGGAGAATCGCTCAGGGTTCGTTGCTTTTTCATGCAGCCACCCCCAACGTTCCATCTCGCTCGAAGACCGGTAAATACAGAACAACGACCCCCCATGGCGCCGACAACTGCAAAAGGGTACTCCGCTCCGCCGCCTCAACCCACACCGCTTCGCGACTCCGGATTCTACTGATTGCAGGCACCCAAGCGCCCGACACAGGGCAAACCAATGACCTGCCTTGCCTTGCAGTGCTGGCACGTGCAGTTGCTGCAGGGAGTTTTCTCCATGCCTCCCATACCCTACGTGCTGCATAAAGCTTAAACTAGCCTAACCTAAAAACGGCTCAACTAAACCCTGTCGCCCAGGTCCAGGGGGCGAGCGAAGCGCTTTAGCGCGGGCATGCCTTGTCAGGTCAGGGACTGGAGTTCGGTTTAGGCTTCTGGAGCTCGTTGGGGCAAGCTTGTCAGTAAATGCAGGGAGGGAAGGAGAAAGAGGCGGGGAGGGAGGGAGGGAGAGAGAGAGAGAGACAGAGAAAGCGAGCGAGGGAGGGAGGGAGAAGCAAGAGAGAGGGAGCGAGGGCGAGAGAGACTGTAAGAGCGAGAGCTAGGGCTCCGAAAAGAAGATGGAGCTTTCCGGTCCAAGCTGCCCATCCTGACGTCGTCGTCGTGCTTCTGCCGCCTGAATCGCAAATGTGCCTCCTCGATGTCCACCAACTCCGTGCTTGCGTTCAGAAGCAGAGTCATCTCTGCGAGCTCCTCATAGCTCTCCACGCCGTTCTCACTGCTTGTTGCAGAGGAAGGGTTTGATGACGGAGGTCCTATGAGAGACTTCAGCAAGCGATCGGCACCTGTGCCAGTCGGTGTTGCCTCGAGCGGCACCATCGAGTCCGGGTCCTCTTTCATAGAAAGCAAATGATGTGACTCTTCACCATAAAGTCCCGGTAGAGACACATGGAAAACATCTACTTTCACGATCCTGCCAGAGGGTGCCTTCAGTGGTACTCTGAGGCAATGGGGTGCAGCCTCGCCGCCGTCGTAGCAGGCTTCTCTTGTTGGGATATCTGAGGATGCCACGAACTTGTGGAACTTCTTGCGTGCATCCGCACCATCAATGAGGTCGTGAAACAAGCGCCCAGCAAAGGCCTCGTTGCTCCCTAGCAACCGTTGGAGGCATGTTGCATTCCCACAGATCTCAAAGTTGCTATCCAGCAGAAGATCTCCGTCACAGATGCCTCGGAGAACCTGTCGAAACCCGAAACTCAGGGCATCAGCATCCTTGGACTTGAAGGCAGCGGAGATTCGAGCTTCCAGTGTCCAGTTTACAAAGGCAGGGATGGCGATGCTCACGCCGAACTGGCAAATCTGCTGTAGCAAGAACCAGCGGTTCAGCGCCAAAGGTCCATGGGCCATCGCTGTGCTGAACACGAATGCCATGGAATAGATCACCGAGGCGACCAACATGGTCCAGCTAGGAGGAAACAGAAGGCTCAACAGAAGCTGACTGGCGACACCCATTCCGAAACACCCCATGTGGTCTTCGCGGTTTGCAAAACCGCTTGAGGCAATTGCAGCGGCGATGATCCCGTTCAGAAGGATGCAGAAAAAGTTGAGACGTGCAACTGTTAACGGACATTTACCAAAGCTGACCAAGTTGTAGACTATGTAAAGGAGCGTCGTAGCGACGACCCAACTTCCAGAAAAAAAGCTAGGATTGCGCCAGCATTCTGCCATAGACACGGGCACAGCCAAGATCATCACGTGCACCATAATTCCTCGAGGCAAATCAAGAACCTGCAAGCCTGCTACGAAACAAAAAAGACAAAGAAGCAAAACCACATTGAACCAAGATTCGGCAGAAGGAGAAGAACATCTCTAGCCGTACCTGCCCGAGCTCCTCCTCAATCCTGCTGGCTTGGCATGGGCCTAGGGCTTCTCCTGGGGCCCACAACGATGCCATGCCGCCCATGAAGTCCGCCCCCTGTGCGCGCCAGTGACCTACCAAAGCGACGACACCGACGGTCAGGAAAACCTGGGTTTCACTTAGAGAGGAAGCTGCCGACATGGCAAGGGGGCAGCTACTGTGCTTCTCTGCGTGAAGCCGAAAACTGACCTGAGAGTGAGATAGAAAAGCGAACTCAGCTTGGCGAAAACAGAAGACCACAAAATCCGGCCAGCTACAACACGGTACTTAGTGTTAGCCTGTCACAGCTAGGACAACTTGGACACGAATGACACGTGCAGCCTCGTCTCTATGACAATGAGCCCCAGAATTGGACTCGACAAAACCATGTCGACACATACAAATGCGCAGGGCCGCCTGCCTGCCCGGCTGCACGCACGCTAGCACACACACACACAAACATGTACAGATGCTCTCATTCACAACTGCATACGTACATACATACATACATACATACATACATACACACTTACACATATGTATATGCATGTGTATATATATATATATGTGTGTGTGTGCTTGTTTATGTCTTCTGTATCTATCAGTTTTTTCATGAATGCGAAGAGAGGTTTAAATATGTAGAAAAACGAGATATGCAGAGAGAGAGAGAGAGTGAGAGTTGGCCGCGGCAGGATTCATATACTTTGTTCAGCCTGTGCTGCTGGGCTACGACGGCTAGCCAGTCAGACGAAAAAAGCTTGTTTTACATGCACCTGTGCCCTTCCTGTTCGAAAACCACTGCTCAGGACGTGCTGCTTTCTAATCATACTCTTGGACACGAAAGACCGTGCCCGTGCGAAGCCGGAGCCTGCCGGAATCGCACATTCTTTGACGCAGAACATGCCGTGGAATGGCATTGGTGCCGCTGCACATGCATGCCTTTCTGGCTTTCTGCTGATCCCTCGTGAAGCTTGCTACTTCTACCGTCCACATTTCAGGCCTAAGGGCACTGAATTCTACAGGCGCTAAGCCCGGAACAGTAGAGGTGAAACCACCAACCTCGTATGCTAATCGTGCAGGGAGACGATAGTGATCGAGACCCCAGCTTGAGATTTTCATCGTAAACCAGAGCGGTCCTGACAATTACCAATGAACTTGGCACTACTTCTCTTTAGGCCTTTAGGCTTTGAACCTCGAAAAATTCGAAAGATCTTGGCCAAGCTTCCTCACATTCTGTCCTGAGAGCTTTGGTTGCGCGCACGGGGTATGATCCACTCTTCCATAGAGACAAGTAGATATTGTGCCAAGAAAGCTGCTCAAGGCGACCGTTCCAACGAGACCGACTTCTTAGTCAGTTGAGGGCTTAGGCTTTAGTACTTACTTGGCATCCGTGCAGTGGCTCCGGAGAACTTTCGGTAAGTCGGGCACTGTCACCCCGAAATTTTTATCATTATTCATGGCAAACTCAATCTCCAGGACAGCAGTAGCACACCGCGCAACACGCGACAGGGGACCGAATCATCGTGAAATCGCCGGTGGCTCGGTTCGGTGCCAAACCTGAAGCACGATGCTGCGCCACTTTGGTTGCATGCTGGGACTGGCCCGGAAATCACATGGGGTTGGCAGAAAACGCCGGGCTCTAGAAACATTAAGCCCTGCATTCAGGAAGAACCGCTGAGCTTGAGAAAACTCCATACCTTCCAGCACTCAGCGTGGATATTTGGCAGAATGGGCTCACAACATTGATTTGACACGCAAAGGTTTGCGGCTCTTTCTGGCTGAAATCCCGGGCAGTGCCTGCAGGCCTGAGAGAGCTTGGCAAGGGCAACGTCTGGGAAACGAGCCAAACTTTCACGTTCTTGCATTCTTGTGCACACTGTCGTGCAAACTCGCCCCTGCAATCGCATGGTTTCAGATGCTGTTGACTCTTACACTCAACTCTGAAGAACAACCAGGAAAGGAACTCGTCTCACACGTCCTGACAGACACGCGCTCTTGCAATCGTAGAGTTTTCGGTGATCTCAGACACAGGGAGGGAGGGAGGGAGAGAGAGAGAGAGAGAGAGAGAGAGAGAGAGTGAGCGAGAGCTAGAGCGAGAGCGAGAGCGAGAACGAGAGCGAGAACGAGAACGAGAGCGAGAGAGAGAGAAAGAGAGATAGAGAGAGAGAGAGGGAGAGAGAGAGAGAGAGAGAGAGAGAGAGAGAGAGAGAGAGAGAGAGAGAATGAGCTAGAGAAAGATGAGAGAGAGCGATCGAGCGAGGGAGGGAGGGAGGGAGAGCGAGCTTCGACACAGGTTCAGCAACAAGATATAGGTTCTCGTGCTGAACATCAAGCGACACACTTGAGGGACCCCTTATAGGCCGCACAAGTACTGTAGTCCTGCCCAATTAACAGTAGTCTTCGAGTGCATCCCCCGAAAATACTATGCAACATATGAGGGGGGGGGGGGGGCTTGAATGCTATGTGGAAGGGATTTCGAGACCGGACGCGCGTCTCAGAGATTTTGACTCTAAACCTACGCCCTACCTTTCGACTGCTTTCGTCCCTCTGCCCGGAAGGCGCTGACAATGGAAGTCATGTTGCTGACGGTGGGGGTGTCTGGGGTGGGCCACAGGCGCCGCTCATGCTGTTGAGGCAAGGGTCTTGTCACTTAGCCTCTTAAACTGTGGCGGTGAGAACTCAACCTGGGTATGATTGGGGCCTGTGGCTCCTAAGCCCAGAAGTGCTTTGCAGCTTTGGCGCTTATGGATGGCGTGGGTTTCTCCGGTTGCATAGAACCCATGTTGAGAAGAGGGACTAGTTTTGGGCATCAGGTAAGCATGTCATCACGGATGTTGATGAAAGAACCAACATGCCCCCCATGTACGTGGTATAGTGGCAGCATATGAGACAGATCTGTATCCAGACCCTGGATGTTGCGCATCGCTGCTTTGCTTTCCAGTCGCCCAGACTGTGCATCTCCGCCCATCTCCACCTTCAGCACCTTCCAGTGCCGCTGGGTAAAGTGTGGGGTTGTAGAGTGGTTAGGGCAAGTAGGTTGTGTCGAGCTTTCATTGCAGATCTCGTACAACTAGTCTCTTCCTTCGTCCGTTAGGCGTCACACATGCCTGTGAAAACCGTTCACCTGCCCGTCTGCTTGTTGCCGCGCAGCAGGCTTCAGAATTTTCGCTCCTAGAGGTTCCAAGACGGTCCCTCATAAGGATACCTGCTAATCTGCCATAGTTCAGAAAAACAGTCCGGCTTTTGGAGCCTCTGGGTTCCAAGCCTTGCCTGAGGTTCTACTTTCAGCATAGACCCTGCAGCCATGGAGTCCCAACACCACATCTGCAAAGAACTAGCATGCAAGAATCACCTTTAAGAAGCAACGACCGGTGGCTTTGCACGTACTCTAATCAAGCTAGATACATTACACTACACCACAAGTCTTGTACAGTCCAGTTTAGCACGAAGCCTTACTAATTGCAGATACTTCCGGCTCCAGGGTTCAGGGTATAAGCATTGGGAATCAGATGTCGGGTTTATGTCGCAGGTGTTGCGGCTTTTTGTCATGTCGAGCTTAGGAACTTAGGGGGTTGAGCTCAGAGCTTTTGGTGCTTGGGGATTGGGCGTCAAACATGCTTAGATAACAGAGTTCGCTGGCGATGGATGGTGGACCCCTGATCGAAGATGTGGTGAGATGAAATTAGCGTAGGTATCAAGCTGAGGAGCCATCTGACTCAGGCCATCATAGGAGAACCAACCGCGAGCAAGAACAAAGCAATGTTTCTGGACGGTTCAGACCAGTCGCCTGTATGGATGCCGCATGTCCCGGCAAGAACCTTGCTTCAGCGTCTACAGGTCCGCTGCGGGACGCGGAGATGTTCAAAACTGTTACAGCGCGATCACTGGAATCAGAGGGCAACCTGTCCTCTGGCTGGTGGGGGGACGGTGAACCGTTTGCTCCGTGAGGCCCCAGGTTTATGGTTCAGGGCTTCAGCTCCTCAGTTCGGCTGGGCTCAAAGCAGGCGATACCCACCCCCTCCTACATGGTCCTACACACCTCGTTGGACACAGGAGGGAGTGGCGCTGGCTGCGGCTAAGCTGCAGCAGATCCAAGATCTCCTTAGCTTGTGGGTGTGATAGGCCGCCGATTTACCACGTGCATTTGGAAAGTAGAAGGGAACAGCAGCTGAAGAGCATCGCTACCGAGGCACAGTGACTTAAACATTGAAAATACTCTCGCCGGAAATGCTGCACACCCTGAGCGATCCAATTTCATCGCTCTCCCAGGTTCCGGCAGACTCGAATGCGGCTATGTCCCCAAAGTAAGAAAACGAAGGTACCACATTTGTGGTGTACTTGGAGCGAAAGCCCGTTAATTACGAGCCCCGGCCGCCAAAAGCTACCCTAATCCCCGAGACGAACCTCTAGTCATGCCATGCGAGTCAGCTCCGTGACTGCAAGAAGAAGCAACAACAAACAAGTGCGTCCTTCCACGCGCGCTTTGTTTGGAGGGTTGGGTCTCTGTCTCTGTCTGTCTGTGTGTGTGTGTGGGTGTGTTCGCATGTGCAGGGGGAGACTGCATGAAGTAAAGTGGTTCTGCCTAAGCCATCAGCTTGTTCCAGATATGCGCAAGATCAGGAGGTAGACGACACACACACACCCAGTATGGTACGATGTGCTCCTAAACCCTAAACCCTCCTCTTTCTGAGAACTTCAATGTTGTCTCAGGTGCGGATCGTACCGACTCGGGGTAATCGTACAGAAGCCGCGAAGTTCCTCTCGCAAGAAGCTGAATACCATCAATGCGGGTTGATTATTGCAGAATCGCGTAACTGTTGCCATAGCCTAAACCCTTAACCCTAAACCGATAGGATGGGAGACCTATTCTGCGACTTAGAGTAAAACTCTGGACTCTTGACATACAGCATACAAGTATATCGACATGCATGCAGACTCTCTGCCGCTCTTATAGCACGTTCTTCGTTCATCGAACAAGAAGAGGCCTTGCACGACGAACATCCTGTCCCGGAAGCAATCCGGTCTAGCACACAATTCCTTGCCAGGCAGGCTAGATTGAAAGTTGAGGTACCCAAGCAGGATGTGTGAGCATCCCCACAATCCCAGGTACAGCTTTCTATATGTCGGTAGTTGACATGCTGGAAAATCTTGGCTGGAGCACG